TACAGCTGGGTCTGGTGCGCCAGCAAGCGTGCGCGTCCGTACAGCTGGGTCTGGTGCGCCAGCAAGCGTGCGCGTCCTTAAAGTCAGCCTCTCTGCAGGCCTGATCAGTGGTGGAAAATGATGAGACTCGTACAGCTTTTAAAAAAACGTTAATCCTCGTGTGTACATAACAATTGAAATCGCTTGAAGTTAAAGAATTTTTTGGAATGAACTTTGAGTCCATTTTAGTTTGCAGTCCACCAGGCAAAACTGAAGTGACTGTTTAATAAGGGAGGCCTCTTAGACCTAGGTTGAAGACACGTTATGGGTAACCTTTAAGATGTGCAATTAAATTGACAGATTACTGTTAATACCTATCCTGGAAAATATTAAAGAAGGATCAGTAAAAACTTGTGTTAAATTATTAATATCTGACATATACTTCTGACTGAAACATAATATTTTAATCATATAAAATATTTTCCTTCATATATCACTTTCTTCAGTGTGTAGGTTTGTGTTTTTAGCCGGTGTATTATACTTTCATGAAGGCGTCCACTTGACCCCTCTGCCCTAATGTCTATCTGTTCCTCCCCTGGCACAGGTGCCCCTGCGGGCTGAGGAGATCACCATCCCAGCTGATGTCACGCCAGAGAAGGTGCCCACACACATCGTCGACTACTCAGGTACGTGATGGTGTTCTGGTAAAACCCCGTGTCCTCTTTCGCCAGCCCTCTGCTCAGATGCCACTGTGGGGCCCAGATGTGACAGAATCTCAAGGCACAGAACAGCCCGTTATTACTTCCTGTTGTTCAAGTTCAGGTTTATTTGTCATTCCTGCCATATATAAGTATACGGTGGAACGACATATCGTTCCTCCTGGTCCACGGTGCAAATACAGGCAGGACAGACAGGACACTGACAAACACACTGTCCCAGATAAAGTCCATTGGAGGCGACTTGTGCCCTGTGTTGAGGGGAAAGTACAGGCCCATCCTGAACGGCCACGTGTCCTCTTGTTTTCCAGAGAGCGAACAGTCCGACGAGGTGCTGCAGGAGGAGATCATCAAGGTGAGAAGCGTGTCCGTGCCTTTCACGTGATCAACTCTTCCGTGTAGTGTGTAAGCCCTTCTAGCAGATTAAGACAAATACGCCGGAATTTCCGTCGCCTTTAATTACAGATTCGCCTTGGCAGAATAGTGTCGCCACCCCCTTTAACTTAATGAGGGAGACTGTCAGTCTTATCTATCAATAGTCTGTCAGATTTAACTGTCAATTTCCTCGACAGTCAGCCATGCAGTCTTAGAGAGGAGGCGATCTCCATGTGTCCTTTGTTCACTGACAAACCATGTCCAAAATTAACTTAAAAAATCAATCCCTCCCTGCGTCTGCTGCCTGAGTCCGTGGCAGCCAGCTGACGGGCAGAGGATCGCTCTGACTCTCTGCAGACGCACCGCTGGCCGGAACGGGTGTCTGCGGACTGTCTCTGTACCCCAGTCCCGTCGTGTTCCCCACCCCGCCTCGGTGTTCCGGATTGGATCGTTTCCGTATCCAAATCCACAGAAGGGAGCCCGCTGTGCTAAGGGGTGCCAAGGAGGGCCAGTGTGTGAAAACTGAACTGCTGGAGGGGAGGTGATTCACTCGGAAGTTGGGGTGGCTGTGTTCAAATGACGAGTCAGTCCTGACCTGCAGGAAGGCAGCCAGCACGTGAGGTTACACTTGATCTCCCCTCCCGCAGAATAAAGGAGAGGTCTGAAAGCCACCTCTGACGAAATACCAATCCAAAATGTGTTTTTAGAACAATTTGGGTGAACGGTTCTGTTTGCATGAGCAGTTAGGTGCTGCGGTCACACAGGGCCCCTATCGTGAAGGCGTTTGTGCTGGCCCAGGGGACGCCAGCAATGCCACTTCCAAAGATTTCGGGCCGCCTTCACGTCTCCTGGCCTTGCTGCAAAGGAGACCGTAAATATTGGATGACACAAATTCCCGAAGTGCGGTTTTTCACCATGTGTTTTCTTCCTCCTTCCTTCTCCCCGCTCCTAGGCCAATGTGGTGTGTATAGTGTACGATGTCACCAAAGAGGACACCATTGAGAAGGTAATGTGCAGTGAACGTGAGTTGACACAAGGGGGCAGCAAATCCACTTATTAAAATTATTCATTTTGATGCTTCCCCACAGTGCACATAAATGTGTGAATTTATACAGCATCGGATTTCATTTGTCACGTCCTCCGTTTCTTAACCGCATACGTTTTTATTTCTTCTGTTTTATGATTGTTAACTACTATAGTTCCTAAAGCCTTTGCTGAGCCCTGCGTCTCTTTTGAGAGAGGTCCTGCTCCTCTCTAACCTTGCTGTGCCGGGTGTCTCTGCAGATCAGGACGAAGTGGATTCCCCTTGTGAATGGAGACGCAGAGAAAGGAAATAAGTATGTACCCGCGTAAGAGTACAAGTACGAGTTAGCTCGCCTGCTCTCGGAGCCTTTAGTTACCTGACCAGGGTGCGTGTGTGTGTGTGTGTGTGTGTGT